GCACTCAAGAGGCAGAGGCAGGCAGATTTCCAGGTTTGAGGCCAGCCAGTTCTACAGAGCAAGTTCCAGGAGAGCCAGAGCTGTACACAGAGAAACCCTGTCTCAAAAAAAAAAAAAAAAGAAAGAAAGAAAGAAAGAAAGAAAAGAAAAAGAAAGAATAAATCTTACAGAAGAAAGAAAGAAAGAAAGAAAGAAAAGAAAAAGAAAGAAAAAAAGAATAAATCTTACAGAAACATGTGTCCTTAGTGGTAAAGAGGAAAAGAGGACATGAATTCAATTCCTGGCCCTCATATAACAGCTCACAACACCTGTAACTCCAGCACCAGGATGGTGCCATCTTCTGGCCCCCACAGGTACTGCAAATAAACGGTACACATCTATGTATCTATGTATGTATGTGTGTGTGTATTTATGTATGTATGTATGTATGTATGTATGTATCTATCTATCTATCTATCTATCTATCTATCTATGCTTTGCCAACCCTTTCAAGAGACTTCCTGGACATCTCAAACCAGCAGTTTTAAAGGGATGTGTCATCCCAAACAGAACGGTTCAGAACAAGTAACTGGAAGCCCTTGTGTGGCTGGGAAGAAATGATGAGTGCTGGATTTTTGTTTTTGCTTTTTTCCTGAAGAGTAATTTGGACATTACAATTTGCAAGTCTGGAGAGAAGGTTTGTAGCTTAGTGGTAAAATTCTCGCTTAGCACATATGAGACCTTGAGTTTCATCTCCAGTATTGAAAACAAATAAAGTACCACAAAATGGCTGCCACGAATGCTGTTTCAAGAGTTTCCCCATTGTACTTGGAAATAAACTCCAATTTCAACTGCTGCATTAGGAAAAGAAAATATGATATTTAGAGTTATTCAAACTCTGAGTTCCCAGGCCCCTGACAGACAGGACATTTTCAAACAATCGTGCCTGCCTACTTGTCTGAATTGGAATAAACATCGTCTCCATCTTAGGGCTTGAGACATTGCTCTTTTTTCTGCCTGATATGTGAAGAGCTTATGTGGTCAACTTCTGAGGTGTGCATGACAGATTTTCATCAGCGTGCCATTAATCTCTGTGTGTTTGAATCAGGCATATTGACCACCCTCTCACCCCATGCTGCCATCTGCCTTTAGGCTTTAAGTATTTTCACACAAATGTGATTTTCACTCAGGGATCCTTGAAGACCCTGCATTGACTCCATAATTTTACGTAATAAATTATATAAACTTTAAGCTCCTTAAAAATCTGAAACTTGGGCTGGAGAGGTGGCTTAAAGGTTAAGAGCACTGGTTGCTCTTCCAGAGGTCCTGAGTTCAATTCCCAGCAACCGCATGGTGACTCACAACTATCTGTAATGAGATCTGGTGCCCTCTTTTGGCCTGCAGGCACACATGCAGGCAGAACATGGCATACATAATAAAATAAAAATCTGAAACTTTCCCAAAAGGTCATTCCCCACCAAGTTATAGAAATTACCAGAATAATTTTTTCTTTCACTTTTTATTTTCTATTTTTTCATTGCTAAAACGAATGTCTCCTGTAAGCTTTTCCAGAGAATTCTTCTGAGAATCAAATAGAGTGCTCTCATTTCTTCACTCGTGACATACTCTTTCTTGGTTTGTCAACCTGTGGGTAGCAACCCCTGTGGCAAACCTCTATTTCCAAAAATTGTTACATTATGATTCTTTTTTGGGAGGGGGGATTTCGAGACAGGGTTTCCCAGTAGTCCTGGAACTTGCTCTGTAGACCAGGATGGCCTTGACCTCACAGAGATTCACCTGCCTCTGCCCACCGAGTGCTGGGATTAAAGACCTGTGCCACCACCACCTGGTTTACATTATGATTCTTAACAGTAGCAAAATTAGTTATGAAGTAGCAATGAAAATAATTTTATGGTTGGGGTTCTCCACAGCCTGAGGAACTGTATTAAAGGTTTGTAGCATTGAGTGAAGTGGCTTTGGAGTTCCAGGGAGGTGAGAGGAGTGAGCTGGAAGGCATGGTAGTCCTTGAAGGGGGATGGTGCTGGGGAATCGCAGGAGTATTTGTTCCTGCAGGAATGGGGTGTCTTAAATGCAAAAAGCCTAGAGAAGAAAAAAGTGCCTTCTAGTGTTGCCTACAATCTTGAGTATCCCTCCATGTCTAGAGGTATCCTTCTGTGTCTAGAGGCATCCTTCCATGTCTAGAGTATCCCTCTGTGTCTAAAGGCATCCTTCCATGTCTAGAGTATCCCTCTGTGTCTAGAGGCATCCTTCCATGTCTAGAAGTATCCGTCCATATCTAGAGGCATCCCTCCTATCTCTGTCTGTGTCATCAACTGACAAAATCTGTTTCTTCTCTTTCTGTAAAGACATCATAATGGTTCAAGACTAGGAACCATCCTCAGGACTTCATTGTACCACTGGCAAAGACCTTTTCCAAGTGAGACCACATTCAGGCCTTTTGACTTGGGGGAGGGATACAATCCAGCCCATTGCAGAGGTGTTTGGGCCAGTGTGTGTACTCCAGGTCTTACGGTCCAATCCTATGGTGACTGCAGCCTATTCACACAAGATAGTTCCTAAGTTACTGCCTTTCGTATTTTTCTGTTGCTGTGACAAAACTCCACAACCATACCAATGGCTAAGAATTCATTTTGGTTTATGGTTCCAAAGGAGTCCATAATGGTGAGAAGGCATGGCAGCAAGTGGCCAGAGCAGGGTTCCTGGCTGATGTCATTTCTACTGAAACAGAAAGAACTGAAGTGGGATGAGGCAATAAACCTTGGAATCCTGTCCCCAGTGAACTGCCTCCAGCAAGGCTCTGCTTCCTAAGGATTTCATAACCTCCCCAAAGAGTGCAACCAGCTGGGAAACCAAGTATTTAGTTACATGTGCCTACAGGGGACATTTGCCATTCAAACCACCAGTAACTTTTCTTGTTAATGAGACCAAAATAGCTAACAAGCAATTTATTGTGGGAGGGGCTTGCTCTGGAATATAGCTCAAGAGGATATAGTCTATGAAGGTCAGGAAGGTATAGTGGTAGTGTGATGTCACTGGTTACAAGGTACCCACAATCAGGAAGCAGAGAAAGGTGAGTGCTGGTACCCTCTTCATTCATGCTTCTGGAAAAAAATGCTAATAAATTCATTGGCTCCCCGTTCTGTCGTCCATGCTCTATATGGGGTAAATAGACATTTATCCACAGCATTTCCATCCCAGTAAGTCACACAGGAGTGCTTAACCAGTCATGTTATAGGAAGGAGTGCAGAAAAAGGGAAAAGAAATCAAACGGGGCTGGTGACATGGCACTTGCTGTACAAGACAGCTGAACTGAATCCCAAAAACCAACCTTAAAAGCCAGCTGAAGTGGCTCATGTATGTAAGTCTAGCATTCCTACGATGAGATGGAAAAGTGGAGACAGAATCGGACGGAAACTCACCGCTGTGCTGTGGTAGAACAGAGACCCTCACAAACAAGGTAGAAAATGGACTTCTGGAAAGTTGTCCTCTCCCCATGCAAGTGCTGTGCACTACACAAACACACAAATCTTAAAAAAAATGAAGCTTCTCTCTGGATGTGATAGCTAACCTTCCTTGCTAACTTGTTTAAATTTATAATCACCATGTATGTAAATCCCTGGGTGTGTCTATTTCCAGTTTTATATATATATATATATACACCACACACACACACACACACACATACATACACATATGAATGCTGTTTGCCTGCACGCCAGAAGAGGGCATCAGATCCCACTATGAGTTACGTGGTTTGCTGGGAACTGAACTCAGGACCGCTGAACCATCTCTCCAATTATTCTTGTTCCACAAAGTTTTAACTGAAGGGAGAAGCCTCACCTGAATGTGGGTGGCATCATCCTTGAGCTGGGGTCCCAGACTGAATAAAGTGAGCAGTAACTGGACCACAATGCAAGGCTGGGGTTGGAACTACTTACAGCTCTTGGACAAGATGTCTGACTTTCTATTGTTTCTGCATCAATAGAGATAGTATACTACCCGGGGATGCTAGGAAGATTAGATGGGATGAATCTGTTTACTTCAATCTAAATGTTCAGTGAATGTTGGCTAGAATAATCAACCAAATGCAGACACTGGATCATTTTAGTTATCACTGTTAGATAAAATTACCCATTCTTCTTTGAATAAAGGTATCTATTACGTCAGACTGGTTCTACCAATCACCCCCATCAATCTCTATCCAACCTCAGGCCACCTTACTCTGTTCAACCACCCTGAACTCACGATTGTAAGCATCCATCCCCATCTGAGGGCCTGTGGACTTGCTTCCTTCTGCCTGAATGCTCTCATGGCTTGATTCCCTCCTGAACTTTGATCTTTATCTCCCCCACAGGTGGCTTTCTCTGAACACCATTTCAAGTAGCACTAACATTCTTTCCCGCCTATTAGATACTTACCACCCCTTTAACAGTTGTTTCTCTCCTGCCAACCATCATGTTCCAAAAGATGTGTGAGTGTTCTGCTGACCTGAACAGCCCTGCTCCTGAGTCACATCACTGTCATTCATACTTTGCCAAGAGTCTTACACTTTAGTGTCTGTCCACACTGTCTTCAAGGTCCCCTCCTGGAGCCTGGCAGAGGGCTCCGAGAGCACTCAGTGAGTGGGTAGATTGATTCTGTCTTGTTTTCCAGACTCAAGTTCCAAGTTATGTGGGAGTGTGGAATGGCCCTTCCATGTGACTCCCAAGTTCAGTTTCTGCTGTTCTGCTCTTGTCTACCTAGGACTTGTCAGATAGTCTGTCTCCTGCCCTACCTCAACCCTGAAGTCTGTAGCTGGTCCACAACATCCACCCCAAGGACTGTCTTCCCACCCCAGGGGCCTGCTTTCTTCAAGGAACTCACTGTTGAGTGGGCCTTAAAAAAATGTCTCTCTCACACACACATTCAAGTAACCACTGCATTGTCAAGTCTGGATGCAACTAAGTTGCAAGCTCTGAAACATCAGAATTAAGGGGTATAACAAATGAGAAAAACCCAGGTCACTATCCAAACATTTATTCATTACTAGTTTTTCTAGTGGGTGGGGCAATACACAGATCATTTCAGTTAGTGTGTTAGCCCTAATTCAGTTACCATGCAGTCAATCAATCTTCAGATTCAAAGACAATCTTTTATCCAGGACATTTTGGATCCTAAACCTAATTTTGAATTTCCCTTAAATCCTTAATTCCCAAAATTCACTAATATTGAAGCTCATAAAAATCCCACTCAGCAGTGATGAGACCTACACTGTCCTGTCCCCTTGGAGCTCAGCTTTCACAAGGGGTAGATGGGTAGTAGACCACAGGCTAGGCTGAGCTGTGGGATGAACCTCAATCCCACAATTATCCTTGGCTCTCAACTTCAACAACTTTTCTCAGTTTCTTATACTCCACTGAGAGAGTTGATGACAAAGCCACCAAAGCAGACCAGGGTTCTTTTGGGAGGGAGCAAAGGGCCTATCTGTCCCTACTCATTCCACTGCAGGCTTCTGGAGCTGGTGACACCTGAGAAGATATTGGCAGGGGATGCAGGGAACACAGTGGGACTTGACCCAGTCAAGCTATTTCTGTGGTCCACTGTTCTCTGGGTTCCCCGTGGACCTTTCAGTCACACCTCAAAAGGAACCCTTGACTGATAGAAACTCCTCTCTTGTCCTGGCAGAGGAAGAAGGCAAATCGAGTGAAATTTAAACCAATACCTGAAGGTTAAGAGGTAAGGAAAGCACTGTTTCAGGTAAAGGAACTACATATTACAAGGGCCAGACAAAAATGGAAAGCAATAGGAGCCAATTTTATGATTTAAATTTTTAAATCATAAATTTAAAGCCTAGCATTTGCAGAGTTCTAAACCACATGGCAGTTTTGTTTTTCAGTTTCTTGCTCTGGTTGTTTTGTTGTGAAGAGTAAATGGAGATTAAGGACTAAGCAGGTACCTCAAAGAGGATGGAGTGATGAGGAAGCTTATTCCTAAGGTGCTTAGAAAGCAGAGTCAGGGTTGACACAAAAAGTCTCTAACAGTAAAGGCAGCTCCAGATCAAGTTGACAGCTTGCATTACAAGACTGACAGAAACAGGGTGAAAAACTGAACACTCTAAAAGTATAACTTAATAATGCTTACAGGGTGAATCACTACTAAATAGCACTGGTGTTAAGACTATGAAGTTAAAATTCCCAAGTTCTTAAACTGAGGTAAGTCCATACCTCAAAACAAAATGAACAATTTTCCATAACTTTGGAGGTACTATTTGAAGTCATGTACAACTACATCAAGTATCACAATGTTTATTGATAGATACAAGTATATAAAATCAGGGCATGAACATGACTTGATAAATTAAGTAGACTTAATTTCAATACTATAATAAGAGGGACCAATTCAAATTCTCACCATTTGTTTCACACCCACAAAAACCACTTCAAGGGCATTAAAGATCTCTCAAAACTGATCAGTTTTGTGCAAGTAAACCATGTTTCTTTTAAAAAGACTTGTGCACTTGCCCAGGCTCAAGGATATTAAAATCTAGCACATAAAGCCCATTACTAGAGGTAGAAATACAGGCAATATACTATTACGGCAACAACCATCAATTACAGTTAATTTTTCTGTAACAACCAAATGGATAATCAAATATTGCAACAACTCAAGTATTACTGAGCAAAGTGCATCTCTACAGTATTCAGTGTTGCTATTCAGTTTTCTAACTTAAAAACAGCCTATGGTAACTGGCAGCAAAGAAGGTCTTTGCAATAGACTGCCTCTGCTTGAGAACTTAGGATGTAATTATTGCATGCTGCTAATATTCTATCTAAACATTAAGGATACTCCTAAAGTATTTGATGGTAGACTATGATTAAGACATCACACTACAAAAACCTTATGCAGAAGGAAACCTTACTGACGTGCTTCTGCTTTAAATATTGTGAAAAACGTTACAGCGGAATGAATTTTCGCAGTGGTTAGGTCAAATGCAGTTACATCATAGTATGCTTTGCACAATTTAAGGCTTTGGCTGGTTCTTTAGTCAGCTTCTTCCTCTGATTCTTCTTCTTCAGCAGTTTCTAGCCAGGTTAGCCACTGATTTACCTGTAAATTAAATTTATAATAAAAAAAACTTAAGTCTATTATTATAAACATTAGGTTTAGGGTGCTGGAGAGATAGATGGCCCAGTGGTTAAAAGAGGCACTGACTGCTCTTCCAGAGGACTTGGGCTTAGTAATAGCCAGCACCTACACAGCAACTCAGAACTGTCTATAGCTCCAATTCCAGGGGATCTGACACCTTTATAGACATACATACAAAATAAATCTTTAAGTTGATTCTGGAGTCTGGTCTTCACAAGCTTTACCTATTGAGCCATTTCTAGCCTTCCTTCCTTTAAAACATTTGTGCATGTATGGATGACTGACTGGTATATGATTGTGTATGCACAGGGCCCAACAGCCAAAAAGGAGATTGGACCTTTGGGAACTGGAGATAAGACAGTTTTGAGCATTTTAAGTTGCTGAGCTCTCTCTCTAGTTGCCCACCAGAGAACAGGATCCCATACACTGAGTGTCCAGGCTTGTCTTGAACTCATAGCTGACTGATGGTCGCAGACTCTAACCCCAAAGTGCTGTGCTTCAAGGCACAAACACCACCTAGGAAAATTAACTAGTCTTCAGCTAGTCAAAGACAGCAACTCTTCCAGACCAAACACGCCAAGCTGCATTCTGTAATTACTATGTCAGACTCTCAAAAACAGGAGTAAGGGATAAATGCTTAACAACCCTTAAAGTGGTTTATAAACCTTAGATTGGAGGAAGTTGTAAACCAGGGCTTCCTCAAAGCCGAGGCCTTAGAAAAATTAGTAGAACTACCTGAATTGTGTTAAGACCTTTTAGCTAGTACCAGGCTGAGTTCCTACTTTTAAATTCTCCAAAAAGCTAATTTTATGCACACTATGGATTTAGAGTTCTTTCATGTAAAGTTCTATTTCCAGAGCTCTAATTCTACTGAATAACAATATCAAACTACAAAGTATGCTTTTTTCACTTTAAGTTTTAAATCCAAATGTCTTTATTCTGTTAACCATGTAAGCAGCTTTGCCACCAAAATTGTTACCTATCTCTAATTTAACACGTTTACACAAGCACTATGGTTTTTAAGCATGATTCTCCCCTGTATCTTCATCTCATTTGCTAACTGCCTATTTAATCACATCTTGTAATAGTGCAGACTAACATACTTTTTGATGCATTGAAGTTATGAAGAAGTCCATTTAAAATACTACCAAAAGAAAACAACCAAGCCAAGTCAACAGCAAAAAAAATCTTAACAAAGCGCTTACCTGGAACAAAGCCTTGCCTTTTCCTGGAAACTCTTGAGTTATGTCTTCCTTCCAAGCCAAGAAAGCTTCCTCCTCAATAATTTCCATGTCATAGAAATGAACAAAAAATCGAAGTAACATGCCTTAAAACAAATGAAACAAAAACAACCAAAGCATGTAATTAATTCCATCATTCCAGTGTGCTATTTCAGACTGCCCCTCATTCCCTTCCGACAGTCACCTCACCTTTCGGGAAGCTGCTGTTGTAACAGTGCACCTGCAGAGCATACAGGGCACTGACCTGGAGATCCACATGATCATGAAGGAATTTCTGCATCACTGGCTTGAAAGAGAGCAGCAGTTGTTTCTCCTGCTCTAACTGTTCTTTGGAAGGAGCAGAGGAAGAATCTGTTTCATCACTAGGTGGGCTTACTTCACTAGAAATGTACTGTAAGAAGCTGAACGGCAGACATCATGTTAGAAATTGTCTAGCTCAACACCAGCTCTTGGGCCTCTGCCCTGTAGACTTTCTAGCAAGTGAAAACCATTCATCTTACCTGGTCATTAAGATGTTCACAAATCCTTTATCTACATGAAGTTTGGGAGAGATGTTATCTTTAATCCATTTATATATAGTTTGAGGGGATGGATCCAGCTTAATTTGCTTCAACAGTTCCTTCTCCAATTTAAGGAGTGGGAATAAGAAACTCAATCCCTTTCCTTCCAGAATCTCCAACATTCGATCTTTATTCTGATCAATTTCTGCAAAGACAATTCTCATTTTACCAAGTTGACTTATCTAGACCATTTTACAAATACTTTCCTAGTACACAAAAATCACTTGTTAACTAAGTCAGTCAGCTCTTACCTGGCAGCATTTTCTGCATATTGACCTTGCTTTGTTGAAAAAGTTCAGTTAGCCATTCTCGATCTTGTAATTTAGCTAATTGTTGAAGACAAAGTAAGAAGAGAGGGAAGTGGGTGCCACTCTCCAGTGGTTGAGCTAGTTCTGAAATGCTCACCAACTCTGAAATTATAGCACGAGCTGCAAACTGTGCCAAATAAGACTTCACCAAGGGGATGTCAACCTCCAGTTTGGGGCACTGCTCCAGCACGTTCAGGAAAGCCTTGGGAAGAATATTCAAAACAGTTATTAGCTTCCACCCACAACTGGAAAGAGCTATTACCCAATCAGTACAATGTTCTACCTGCATGAAGTTGTCACTTGTGGCTATTCCTTCCTGTTTGAGTAAACTGATCAAAGAGCTCGCTTTTTCTTTATCTTCATCACTTCTATCTAGTGACAGGATGATCACTTTGCTTAACATCTCAGGAAGAAAGTGTTTCGGGGCTCTCATTTCTCTCATGCCATTGACGGCTTCATTTGCATTTCCACTATTCAGATATTCAGTCACAACGGCTTCCTGAGAACACAATCAGATTCCCATCAGTGTTCCCTGTCCTCAAATGTTTAAGCAAGAGATGACTGGGGGGGGGGGGGTATCTAAAACTTACAGTCTGTTTAAGTAGTTCTTCCTTTGATGGTGGTGGCTTTTTGCTAGTCTTGGCAGGCTTTTCCTGGATAAGTGGTGGATTAGTTTTGAGACCAAGTTGTGGTGTCTAAAGGCAAACAAGCAGCACATAACACATTTCATCAAAATGTGTAATCAAAATGTAAGGAACCAAAAAGAACAGTACCACCTGAAACAGAGGGAAGAAAACAGAATTCTCACTCATCTTCAGGGGGCAGATAGTTTGGGGCCCATACCTGTCCCAGAGGTGGTGTTTGAGTGCGTGGTGGCTGTGCACTGGGAGGGATCATAGTTATCTGGGGCTGAAGCTTTGGCACCTGATTTTTATTCATTAGGAACGACTGAGCAGGCCTCAAACTAATCTAAAATCAAAAACAAATCAACACATAACCAAGTTAACAGAGCTAATAAACATTAAATGTCAAATGTATAGAATCCTATACAAACCTAATAATTATGACAGAGACATAATTCTCTAAAAACAAAGAGTTACTTCATATCACGTGATAAATTTAACTTCTGGAAAAAGTAATCTGATTTAATGAATAAGATACTGGAGGAAAAGAGAAAGATACTGTTTACAAACCTTAGTTTGTAACATAATTCACCCAATATCAGCAATATAGATACTCTTTATTCTACTTACAGAGAAATCCACCAACATCTTAACGATTTCTCATGCTAACTAGTAAAAGTTACTTAGAAACTTGCCCTCATATCTCATAATCTTCGCTCATAGGACGCTGGACATCCAAAGAGAGAAAAAGAAGCAGAGGAAAGTGGGAGGGGAGGGAAATAGAAGAGTTAGACAATGAGGAGAACAGAGAGAAAAAGGAAAAGAATCCAGCTTCAAGTCCTCTTTCGCGTCATTTTATAATCATCGGGCAAGAGACTCCTGCACTGACAATCTACTGCATAGAAGTAATGTAGGCAAATGTACCTCATCTGCATTAAGCTGTCCTTTCTTAGAAAACCGAGGTGGCATATCCTTCGACTGTCCTTGCAGCTGGGATAAGAGTCCCTGACTCTGGTTATGGTAGAGCTGGCTTAGCCCCTATTTCAGAAAGGGAGAGAAAGTCTAGATAAAAATTATGGTAATCGAGTACCAAGGGAATGAGCCAAGCCATTGCTTTGCCCAGAAAAGATGAAACAGGGAAGAATATCTAACCTATCTGTTGAATAAAGTGATGTGATTTTTACTAATTTTAAAATTAAAATCGTCAGTTGGTAATTTGGATAAGCAAAAAAAGAGCATTAAAACTCAGTGTCATTTAAAAACAAACAATAAAGGACATAATGTATTGAACCTAAGGTTAGCCCTAAACACTATAAACACTCTCAAAGTCTTACCTGGCTTTTCATAAATTTGCCCCCCATCTCTCCAAACTGCGACTGCGTGGGAGGCATGATGTGTCCCCCATGGCCATTGAAGAGCTGATTTGAACGATGTCGTCCCATCGTGGGTGAAAATCTATCCTGGATAACTCCTGGACCAGTACCAATTCCACTACCTTAAAATACACACAAGTCTTAGAACTTCACTAAAGCATTAACCTTAGTTTAACCAAAACACTGCTTTACTTAAAATTACCCGGCATTTGTCCAAACATATCAGCGAGTCCCCCAAGTGGGTCCCTATCCATTTTCATCCTTGGCGGCATGAACGGTCCCTCCAGGAAGAAGTCATTCCTCCCTTGAGCCATAGGAGCAGGAATAAACACTCCTAGATCCTTTGAGAAGAAAAGTGGGTAAGTACTGTTGCCTGTAGACCCTGGATTACTTTATTTACAGTTCTAGAACTTCTCTCCAAAATGGCATGAAGGACACTAATTCTAGATTTTAAGAGTTAAGGAAAGGACTACACTACTATGGAAAAGAAAAAGAAACTGAAAAATCTCACTTTTACTGCATCTTGACGGATTTGATTGATCGTCTTTGGTCCATTGTCAAGAAAAGCCTTGCGAGGAACCCAATGGTGTTCTCGCAACTCTACGGTATCCTGCAATTTTAAAAAAGTTTAAATTTTAACTTACTATTCCAAAGGAAAAAACCTCAAGCTTATTGGACATTGTTGAAAAAAAATCTTACCTGCAGTAGGAAACGAATCCTTGCTGGCAATTCCTTACTTAACATTAAGGAACACATTCTGGCAAAGTACTGATCCATTAAGGACTGATAAAAAGATAAAACAAAAACACAATTAGAACTAAGATAAATGTATACTACCTAAGGCATTTTGAATCATCATGCTATAGGGTAAAGGCAACTAGAGCAATCCCCAACTCACAAGACACACCACCTCACCGTTCTCAGTAAAAGCATACCTTGGCTCGTTCATGGTCTAATCGAGGTCCCACTGTCCTCATTATCTGACAGAGGCACTCCAAATCCTCTCCCATATCTTTAAGTTGGACTCTCTTTTTCTTTTCCAAAAGCTACCAAAAGAACATGTTTAAAATTTTAGTTATCTGGTTTATGTAGTCATTTCCTTCCTTAGGTTTGGACTGACTCTTAATTCCTAGAGCATGCAAGACAACGCTTTCCTACCTGTCTGTGTTGAAGAAATCCCTCTATATGAATTTCAACACAGACAAAGCAATCCAATCTACCTCTACTTTAAAAAGTACTTTGAAATTGAGTTTCTCTGATTACTAAACTATGTTAGTATTAGTAGCCAGCTACCTTTTCAGATATGCAGCAATTGACTAACTTTCCCTAAATAAGGACATTCTTATTGACTACCTCACTCTAAGCTACTCCATACTTACTGTTTTGATGCACTTATGAAGGATAGATTCGTGAATAAGATCAAGCTTGCCAAGTTCTCCAATGAATTTGATGTTCCCCAACATCTTGATCTTAGCAATAGCTCTTTGTTCCTCCTCCTCAGGGAGGAGGGGATTTTCACGCTTATCATAGACTGAGGAGGGGAGGCAAACAGAATAAAGAACACTTAGAACCATTCTTGCAAGTGTTCTGACCGTTACACTTAGGCCACAGAAGGCACAAATGTTAATAAAAACACCGGTACTAGTTAATAGCAAATTTAAATGCTTACCATCAACATTTCTGGTTCGGTTTTCAAATTCATCTTGCAATTTGGAAATCAAGAGGCGTCTGAATGTCTATTTGCAAACAAAAGGCATTACAAACTTTGCTAAATAAAAAAAAAATCTTCCAAACTAATTTATAACAAAGCAAACAAAAACTGTCACTCACTGTGCTTTGCTTCTGTCCTGGTTGACCCTCTGCTGCTGGGCCATCAAAGTTTGGTGCATCTTCTGCCAATCGCAGACATAGCTGAGCATACAGTGAGCTATACTTTGGCTCTTCTAGGGCTTTGTCCACAATCTACAGAAGCCATTAAGAAGCAAACCATGATGATTAAGAGGCTGAAGGAGCCCTCTTTTAAAACAGCCTTAACCCTCACATCAAGCTACAGACAGTCTCAATTCATTTGGACAACACCTCAAAAATATAAAAGCTTTAAAAATATCTGTGGTACAATCTAATAAATCTTATATTGCACACACATCCCCAGCAAGAAAACTATAAATCAAAGACACCGTTAAAGATGCAACTCTGTGGTTGATAGTCATGTAAAACAAGATGCCAGAATCCAATATGAATCATCATAAACCCCCAAAACCACTTTCACAACGGAAAGAACTCAGCAGCTGTTTCCAGACAACTTGATAAACCAAGGAAAATGAGGATTCAAGGTTCACCTCTTGAATCCTAATGTCATTCAAAGTAGTTCTGTTTTTATTATCATTATTCAGAAACACATATTCGTATCCAGGACCTCTCATGATTTAATGCAGTAATTAAATGTAAGAAACTTGTGTCTGTAAATTTTCTGCCCCCCTTTAGTTACATTTTAAACTTACCAGCAGTATGACCCCTTTAAGGATGAGTTTAGACTCTACACCCACATTGAGGAGCTCAAGGCATAGCTTGTCAAACTTTTCAGGAGTAAGCTTATTTAGTATGCTGGGGGGAAAAACACATTTCAAGTATGGGTTAACAATTATTTTCTCAGCTGAAAAATAGCATTTAAATTTTGACTTCCCTTTTACTAACTCCCTAAACAGGGAAAAATGTTCTCCTTTCTTTCCTATTTATTCTTTGATAATGCCATATAGTATTTTTTTTATTATAGTCTTTCCTGACCTTCAGCTCCACTCCTCCCCCATTTCATGTTCTTTCTCTAAGAAAAAAAAAATTGTCATTTGTTCCTAATCATAGGGCCTTATCTTGGAGTGTGGCTGACTGATATATCATCACTCCATGGAAAAATAAAATATTTCCCATGTCTCCCAGTAGTTTCTTGTCTAACCTTGGGCCTATGTAAACCTTGTGCATGCTATTATAGTAATGTTCATTTTTCATCTAATCAAAGAGATGTTGAAATAAGCTCACAGATAAAGACTATGACATCTGAATCATATTATCTGAGCTTTTCTGCGGTTTCACAGATACCATTCTCAAAACTCAGAGCACAAGGTTCTCATTATCTGAAATTGACCATAGGCTAAGATGGTTATATCACATCACTGATGTTACAAACCAGACCAACATGGAAAAGTTAGCATAAGCTCACAGGTAATAAATATCCCTTGTAGCCAGACACCTATGGGCAACGGACTCCTCGTCAAAAGATTTCTAGAATATTGTTGGCAAGAGAATCCACTAAAATGTTGAATCATTTCTGTGCACTGTGCAGCATACATAGTAGAGAACAGCACAGCCAGACACTTACCCTCTTACTTTCCTGAAGATTGCATCATGTCGTTCTTTTTCATTTGCGGAGTTGTTTGCTGCGGAGTTGTCATCTCGTCTAGTGCTTCGTGCAGGAATCCATTTCTGAGCGTTTTGCCCTGGGGTTTTCCCCAGGAACTCGCTAGTTTAATAAAACATCAACAAAGTAGCTTACAATTAGAAAACCTAAAACAGTATTCACTCATTTAACAAATGTCCCACCACTTTGCTAAGTAAAAATAAAACGAAACAAATCTTAGGCTTTATATTCTTCCCATACAACAAAGCAATCCTGGAAGTCTTTAGGCTTAAAATGACTGGGAGGCCCATTCCCAATTTCTGCTCTAGTACTTTAGAATTTCCATTTCTGGCAATATATTCCCAGGTCATGTCAAAAAACCCTGCTGATCCAGGAACCCAACCTCGAGACTTAACACCAACACGCTTAACAAGCATGTTCCACACAGACCACATCACAAATATCAAAAAGTAGGGACAATTATTTTGGAGTCAGCAAATATGAACCAAGAGGATGGAAACAGTTTGAAATTATGAATTCACATCAGGATTACAGGTGATTTCCCAAGGGTTATCCTGTTAGGCATGGAGAAGTCTTTAATTAATAAAATCCAGTCACTGTCTTTACCAGTTACCATACCTGTTGCCAGCAGTCTTGGGATAGTGCTGAGGTGCACCCCTACTTCCTCCTCCGCCCGAAGAAGCACTATTCAAAAGAAATGTTTACTTTACCAATTAGGTCTCACTCAAATGGGAACCTATTTATATTTTAGAAATTGCACCACAACCAAGACTGAACTTTGGCCTAAAAGAAAATGAACCAGAGGCTAGAGATGGCTCAGCGGTTTGAGAGCTGGCTGTTCTTCCCGAGGACAAGGGTTCAATGCTAACACCCATAGGGCAGCTCCCAAAAGTCTTTAACTCCAGTCCCAGGATCTGACGCGCCCCCAGTATACCCTATACTCTAAGAGACACAGCACATAAGTGCGATTTAGTAACGGTTTCATTTTCAAAAGGCCTCCTATGTTACCTACCGCCCTACCCAAAACTATACCTGAAACGAGAAGCACCCCCTTCTGCGATCGCACTCTCCACTTTGGCGGCTTGACAACGAAGAATCTTCAAAAGAATAATATTAATGGATGGGGTGGGGAGGGGAGGGGATGGTACAAACGAAAAGCCTGGAACGAGAGAGAACGCCAAAATTAGGTGCTGCCAACAAACACATGTATAAACCCTCGCTCTAATCTATTTCGGCTCTCACTGCAGCTGATTAACTTTCACTGCACTGCAGCCCTTAGAAGACTAAAATAGAACAAAGTCAAAACCACAAACACACAGTGAAATCTTGTTTAGATACGTGGATTCCCTTAGTGGTCAAGGATGCCAGGAACAGCCTTTGTGTTTGTGTGTGTTGGGGGGGGGGTGTCAAGAACATCTGGATACTGCCTAGAACGTAGCCATATTCCGGGGCCTTTAAAATCTAACAGAAACGCTTTCAGCACCGGCGGTGGCCCGTGGTTGCCGCACTGCCGTGCGCGGCCCGAGCAGGGCCAGGCCGGCCAAGGTCTCCCTACTCGCCGCCGGGACGGCTCTGTCCTCCGCCCGTCCTTTCACCCCTTCCCACAGGGCGCGTGTGGAAAGCCGCCGGAAGAGAGGGGCCACAACATGGCAGCGGGAACCTCCGCCCCACTACGCGCGAACAAAAGAGCAGCGGGTTCCTCCCACAAGGCCAGTGTGGCCGGGCTTCCGACCGACGAGGGCCGGGGCCGGGCGGGAGGCGCCCCCTCCGGGCGGCCCTTTGTTCTCCCGCAGGAAGGTGGCCTTCCGTCCGCCCGCCGCCTCCGCTCGAAGTCCCCGGTGACAGCGCGGCGCCTCGCCCTCCCTGAGCGCGGCGACCGGCCACAGGGCCCAC